TCCGCATGGGTAGGTACCACCACCCTGCCTATTTCTGCCGTGAAGCAGTAATACGATTCGGTTTGAAGGAGGGGGCAGCCGTTGTAAGTATACTGCGATCTTAGAACTTAGGCGCATTTACGTTGTAGATGTCTACGGGCTCCAGTAACCACTTAACACCAGGTGGGCTGTGAGCTCGTCCACCCGTCTAAGCAATAAAATAAAAAAGTACTTAACACATCATGACGAGCGACTTCCCCGATGCAGGGACTGTGTTATATAAATTAAAAGCCGTAGATATAAGTTTTCGTTACTGCAGCAATAAGTGTTTTTTTTTTATAACAACTAATAGGCAAACGAGCAAGACGGGTCACCTGATGGTAAGTGATTCACCGCCGCCCACGGTCACCAGCGTTTACGCCAGTGCGTTGCCTACCCTTCAGGTAAGAATATGCTCTTTTCTTGAATAACCCAATGTCGCAGTTGTTGGGGAAGACCGCTGATGGCAACGAATTCCAGAGATTTACTGTGCGTGGCAGAAAACTGTTTTTAAAACGCATTGTAGTGGAACGCCAACCATCCAGATGGTGCGGATGATAGTTCCGGCGAGACGATCGGTTGCGAAAATCAGCGGCTTCTATTAAATTGAACAACTCCTCGGAACACTCCCCATTGTAAATTCTGTATGGTATGCATAGGGAAGATAGATCCCTACGCAGTGCCAAAGGATCTAGCCGATCGGCAAGTTCAGGATCGTCGACAATCCGAGATGCCCTACGTTGGATTCGGTCAAATGGAGATAGCTGATAACCCGGAGCCCCGGCCCAAAGGTGGCAACAATACTCCATGTGAGGCAGCACCTGCGCCTTATACAGCTTAAGGCGGTGAGCCGGCTTGAAGTACTTGAAGTGTAAATAAACAATATTGCTATGTTCTACCTACATTGGTTAGTATTTAATTAGTGTTAATCTATCTGTTTATTAATTAATCTTAGGTCTTTCTTAACACATTATCTGAAATACATTGCTAAATATTGTAATTTAAATAACGAAGCAGTATCGCCAATGTTGAGTTTAATCAAGATTTAAAAATGGAATGTACCCTCTCGTCCTCCCTCGCTCATTCATACCTGCGGGGGAGGGTCCTGGGAGGTAACTAACGAACTACCAATAGCGTGCTGCTAGAAAACAGGTGGTCGGCGGCCATCTTGTTCTCGCTGAAATATCGAAAGCTTCAGAAAATAAAAGACTTGAAAATATTAAAAACTTACTATTCTATGTATACATTCGACCATGATTCCTATTTAGAGGTATCTATATATTAATACGTGAAGCAAAAACTTTGTATCCCTTTTTACGAAAACTGCGCGGACGGAGGAGTATGAAATTTTCCACACTTATAGAGAATATAGAGAAGAAGTGCACAATGCTAATATTTTTTTTAAATAATGTATAAAAGACACATTAAATCAATAAACAAAACATTACACACACTACATACCATGTATTTGACGCACACACGCATGCATACTATTTATTGTCAAACTTTTGTTCTTGGCGTCTGTTGTCAAATTGAGAATAGATTAAATATTGTTTGCCTTTGTTAATATTTTTTATAGTGTAGTCTTGGCGAAATTTGTGATTATAGAAGTATAAAATACAATCATAATAGTGTACAAACTTACAATTCCAATTAATTATAGTCGAATTTCGACTACTGCGGGACCTCTAGTTTTTATGATTGTTTCCCATCCAATCATCGATTCTAGTTTGAGATCATTTAGTGAAACACACTTTAATTCTCTTCGTTCTGGGCGAGACTCAGACACAATTAAAACAACTTTTACAATTTAATCTCCCATTTTTATTGTCACTATAATCATACTGCATCCAACATTTCAAATACTATACAGATTTCGTTGTCCTACAGAAGTCGTCCGTGTCCGTGATAACAGTATTATAATTACATTTTAATTAACTAAATGTGTTTCGGTATTTCATCCTCGTTAAATAGGTGATTCTCATAAATCATGTGTCATTTTTTTTCTAAAAAGCAGAATAAAGAATAAATTGTTTCAGCAAAAATATGTCAATTTGCATCTATTGACTCGTAGAAAAACGAACACACTTTTGTACCTACATACGCAATATATAGCTATTAATTTGATTAATTAATCATTATTAACATTCGAATAATAGTTTCAATACAACACAACTTGGGAGTGCTCTGAGGAATTGTTCGAGATGATACCGGCATCTCGTTTTTACCATCGCACCGCCCGCCACCGGAGTAGAGTTCATCCATACTACCTGGAGCCACTGCGGTCATCCACAGTGCGTTTCCAGAGATCTTTTTTGCGACGTACCATCCGGCAATGGAATGAACTCCCCTCCACAGTGTTTCCCGAGCGCTATGTCCTTCTTCAAACGAGGCTTGTGGAGAGTATTAAACGGTAGGCAGCGGCTTGGCTCTGCCCCTGGCATTGCTGAAGTCCATGGGCGACGGTAACCACTCACCATCAGGTGGGNATTTATTGTCAAACTTTTGTTCTTGGCGTCTGTTGTCAAATTGAGAATAGATTAAATATTGTTTGCCTTTGTTAATATTTTTTATAGTGTAGTCTTGGCGAAATTTGTGATTATAGAAGTATAAAATACAATCATAATAGTGTACAAACTTACAATTCCAATTAATTATAGTCGAATTTCGACTACTGCGGGACCTCTAGTTTTTATGATTGTTTCCCATCCAATCATCGATTCTAGTTTGAGATCATTTAGTGAAACACACTTTAATTCTCTTCGTTCTGGGCGAGACTCAGACACAATTAAAACAACTTTTACAATTTAATCTCCCATTTTTATTGTCACTATAATCATACTGCATCCAACATTTCAAATACTATACAGATTTCGTTGTCCTACAGAAGTCGTCCGTGTCCGTGATAACAGTATTATAATTACATTTTAATTAACTAAATGTGTTTCGGTATTTCATCCTCGTTAAATAGGTGATTCTCATAAATCATGTGTCATTTTTTTACTAAAAAGCAGAATAAAGAATAAATTGTTTCAGCAAAAATTTCAATTTGCATCTATTTATTGACACGTATAAAAACCAACACGCTTTTGTACCTACATACGCAATAGGCATAGCTATTAATTTGATTAATTAATCATTACTAACATTCGAATAATAGTTTCAATACAACACAACTTGGGAGTGCTCTGAGGAATTGTTCGAGATGATACCGGCATCTCGTTTTTACCATCGCACCGCCCGCCACCGGAGTAGAGTTCGTCCATACTACCCGGAGCCACTGCGGTCATCCACAGTGCGTTTCCAGAGATCTTTTTTGCGACGTACCATCCGGCTATGGAATGAGCTCCCCGCGGTGTTTCCCGAGCGCTATGACATCTCCTTCTTCAAACGAGGCTTGTGGAGTGTATTAAGCGGTAGGCAGCGGCTTGGCTCTGCCCCTGGCATTGCTGAAGTCCATGGGCGACGGTAACCACTCACCATCAGGTGGGCCGTATGCTCGTCTGCCTACAAGGGCAAAAAAAAAAAACTTCTTGTCTGTATACAATAAAAACACACAATAACTTACAATAAATAACTTTATTTCACTTCATAATTAAAAACTAAACAGCGAACGACAAATTGAAGTCACGCGCTAACAAAAGAAACGATAATAGGCACAAAACAATTGTAAATCGTCCATTGCGTGCCGGAAACGGCTCGATTGCACCAACTCCCCGAGCAGACGCACGCGTGGAAGCGCGCATACAAAGATATACCACGCGACAGCGGCACTAAAGACGCCATGGGACTGATGATGCAGCCGTTGTCCACGTTCTGGGTCCAAGAGTAGCAGAATGTTATGCTATGTTACATTCCAAGTACATTTTTTTCCCCCACCTAATCTGGTAGCCTTGAGAGGCTATGCAAGCGTAACCTTAACTAGTAGGTGAGCTCATGGGGCTCAAATCTGACGACGTTGCTAGTACGATCCCTAGCAAGAGCCGCGCTTCGCAGAATCTACCACCGGATCGGAAACGCGACCCACTGAGAAGATCCGGGGAGAAACTCAGTGGGCTGTGTCTGTGGGTTAATTTACTCGTCGAGCCCTTCGTCGAAAGCGACGGGTTCGGCGAGGACGGTGACCTGTGCTTGAGGTACCTAAAAGCACCATTGGTGGATCTGGAGGATCCGAAATGACGTGTTTTGGGCGACGTCGACTGCTTTCCATTCTGTCCGCAGGATCGGGAATGAAATCGATCGCGCAGGTGAGCTCACGGGGCTCTAACCAGAGGACTTTGCTAACACTAGCCCTAGCTAGTGCTTCGCAGAATCTACCACCGGATCGGAAACACGACCCACTGAGAATATCCGACGAGAAACTCAGTGGGCTGTGTCTATGGGTTAGTTCGCTTGTCGAACTCTTCATCGTAATCGACGGCGGTGGAGAACAATGACCGGTGCTCGAGGGTCCTAAAAGCACCGAGAGTGAATCCTAAGGATCAGGCAAGTCAAGTATTGGGTGACGGTGGCTTTGCGTTGCCCCGTCGCGGTCGGATAAGAAATATTTACCAGAACAAGGGTTCTATATGAAAACATCACGAACTTTAAATAGTAACATATTCCACTATGTTGAGTGGCTATTAAAGGCTATAATATCACTCACATGATGCCTATGGACTTCTTTAGGTGGACAACATCAAGCACCTAATCTAATACAATAATCATCATCATCAACAGCCTACAGTCGTCCACTGCTGGACATAGGCCTCTGCCGATCCACACCACTGAGCCTGGTCTACGGCTCTCCTCATCCACTTCTTGCCGGTCATCGTTCGGAGGTCATCGCACCACCTAGCCAGGGGGTGTCCCACGTTACGCTGCGCGGTCTCCACTCGGTAACCCGTCTGCTCCAGCGATCGTCAGTCCTACGGTATATATTGCTATTAACTCATATTGCTGAAAAATCAATACGAACAGACAGGGCGAGCTCCAATTTGGCCATCCTCTTGCTGGCAAAATGCAGACCAGTTGTTGGCTGGTATTTACTCCTGCAAGTGCGCTGCGTATACACGCCACTGAGGTCTATCCACCGGACTGCGCAGCCTCCTGTCCACCTACCCAGGATCCCGCGGGGATCCGATGTGTTAATGCGATAATTGTTGCTGAAACGTTTTTCGAAGATTACGATAATTGCAATGAACCGGGATATATCCCCACAAATCCCGCTACGCTTGGAGCGATCTGAGACCCGCCCTGGATCAAGGCAATCTAACTTCAATAACTTTTTTTTTTCTTAGATGGGCGGACGAACTCACTGCGCACCTGGTGTTAAGTGGTTACTGGAGCCCATAGACATCTACGACGTAAATGCGCCACCCACCTTGAGATATAAGTTCTAAGGTGTCAAATATAGTTACAACGGCTGCCCCACCCTTCAAACCGAAACGCATTACTGCTTCACGGCAGAAATAGGAGGGATGGTGGTACATACCCGCGCGGACTCACAAGAAGTCCTACCACCAGTGAAACTTCTTAAAAACCAGTATCTCTCTCTACCTTTCAAACTGGAATATTTATGTTGTGGAAATCTTTTTGCAAACATATGTTTGGTGCAATTTCTTAGTAAAATTTGTGCTTGCACCAGTATCGAATCACGGAACAGTTTCATTCCATACCGATACGTCGCGTCTCAAGCGTCTCAAAAGTAATGTCGGAGTAATGTGTGGGCCGCATCTTAAAGCATAAAGCAATAAAATCAACTTATGAAACTCACGAATCTTCGTATTTGCAATATTTCCGNTTTTGCAAACATATGTTTGGTGCAATTTCTTAGTAAAATTTGTGCTTGCACCAGTATCGAATCACGGAACAGTTTCATTCCATACCGATACGTCGCGTCTCAAGCGTCTCAAAAGTAATGTCGGAGTAATGTGTGGGCCGCATCTTAAAGCATAAAGCAATAAAATCAACTTATGAAACTCACGAATCTTCGTATTTGCAATATTTCCGGAACCTTGCTATCTGACCTTTGGCCTTCGAGTCTATAGGTACTAGCGGGAGGAAGTCTGTGGCAAACGCATCAGCGCAATAAGAGTTCCGCGGAATCCCTGCGGCTTCCAGGCCACAAACGAAGCACTGGGTATATGAAATAAAAGATTTTTCAACAATTTCGGAACACGGCAAGTTTGTCGAGCGGTAAGAGAGTGTCCTACTTCGCACACTACTGTAGTCTCAACCTGTGGGATGCTGCGGAAAGTTCCTGACGACTCAAAAAGGCCTAACTTTACCAAATCCAGGGTTACGCACATCTAGGAGGAGTACGTATTTCATTAGAAAATATTGTACCTGCCTGCGGGATTTGAACCTTGGTACAGTCATATCGCCCGATTGGAATGTATAGGGCGTCTTATCTTTTAGGCCACGACGACTTCAAAAGAAATCATGAATGATGATGATGAATGATGAACATGAAAAAATTAGCCAAAATGGCCGGAAGATCTGGCATTCCTAGCTTCACCCATTGTACCTTGGCCACAACTGGTGCGTATTTGCGATCCTCGGTGGTCGTCTCCACGGTGGTCACCACGGTCGTGGTCGGCGTCCCACAAGTCGGTATGGAATACTTCTGCAGTGTCTCATTTAAGACCAAAGTTAGGTTCGTGTCGTAATCGAAGGTCAAATTTGAGACTATGTCTAAAAGCGCTGTGGGAGAGAAATCGATATTAATTATGTTTTACTGCGTCTATCCTTTTAAGCTAAATACTCTGGGGGAGATGAAGGGGCGGAGGCTCGGATGACTCAGACATGTACTGCGGATGGAGCAGGATCGGCCTGTGAAACGGGTGTATCGAAGAGACGCCATCCCGTAGGGAGTCCCAAGTACCGCTATGGAAGTTAACGTGAGCTTCAAGTGCTGGACTGGCAAGATGTTGCTCAGTGCATGAATGGCGGCGTTAATGGCGGAGGCCAAGACCCACTAAGGGGTCATAGCGCCAGGGCAGTAGTAATAGTAGGTTTATCGCCAAATTAAGTTACCGCGCACGGCGCTGCCGTTGCAAATTCACGAAACAGGAACTGACTAGGACTAGGAGTTTGGTAAATGTGTACGGTACTTTATTATTTCGATTTATTTTCGTTTTATCTTCCGGAACAGGACATCAATATACAGTGCGAATCAGAAATAGTCAAAAACTACATGCTTTTAAAACACAAAAGACCCCAATAGAGAATTTTCCCGTGTGTTGCAGATGCAGGAAAAACTATACGTATAAAATAATAATGAAAAAATGAATATTTTATATTTTTTTGCTTCAGCTACAACACGAGAAAAAGGAATATAAAAATCAAATAGGTTCTTTATAGCTTTTAGTTCAGATAAAATTAGGTTAATTTCAAGTCACTCCTTACCTTCGATATCAAATTTGGGTAAAGTGCTTTTTCTGGTTCTACGGACGGTAGTAGTAGTAGTCGTAGTAGTAGTTGTTGTGGTGATATTCGTTTCTTTTCCGATTGCGGAACTGTTTCNTACAACACGAGAAAAAGGAATATAAAAATCAAATAGGTTCTTTATAGCTTTTAGTTCAGATAAAATTAGGTTAATTTCAAGTCACTCCTTACCTTCGATATCAAATTTGGGTAAAGTGCTTTTTCTGGTTCTACGGACGGTAGTAGTAGTAGTCGTAGTAGTAGTTGTTGTGGTGATATTCGTTTCTTTTCCGATTGCGGAACTGTTTCCGCCTGATGAAGCTGTAGTAATTTCTGATGTTTTGTTCGATTTTGTTGCTACTTCCAATGTGGATGTCGTATTCGTCTTGGAGACTGTTTCCGATTTGGTGGTTGTAGCGGCTTCAGAGATGGTATCCGCTTTAGAGGTTGTGTCCGCTTTGGAGGTTGTGACTGCCTTAGAGGCTGTATCTTCTTTCGACGTTGCAGCCGTTTCTTTAGTCGATTTAGTGGTCGTTTCTTGTTTAGGTGTTGTCTCCGCTTTAGCTGCTACTTCTGAAGCAGTTGTCGCAGCGGCGCTTGTGGTTGTCGTGGTTGTCGTGGATGCAGTGGTTACGGTGGGTTTTAAAGACTGCGAATATAATGACAATTAGTTTTTAATGAGAGTTCTGAGCTCGCTCACAGCAGTATCATGTCTTTTTCCACAGGAGAATTCCGCCAGATCCCCACCCGCGCGGCAGGTGAGGCATGTGGGAGTTGAACCTCACTAAAACTCCTGCTGCTCACAACCGGCGCCCTACCTTGGATCGGGCCAGAGCCCAGTCGGAGCGATTGAGACGGCGGGACAGGGTTGACGCAGAGCACATTACATCCATCCCGCCGAGTATTATGTCTTAGTATCTTATTTTCAGCGGCAAAAGCAATAATTATCGTAAAGGAACAGGGCAGAAATACCGTTCGCACAAGTTAGGTACATGTCAAGACAAGAATATCGGATCTATAATAGTACTTATTTCATGAGCGGCGTTTAGTTGCATGTCGTATAGTCAGACACTCGACTTATCTATTGGGAATGGAAGGGTTAAATCGCTCAAAAAACCGAAAATTACCGGAGCTTGACTAGTAGTTACGTTTGCCTGTCGAAAGTACAGCTGAGGATCCGGGTCATCATAAGCACTCGGCACAGTGGTCGCCGGAGAACGGGTCGGTCTGTAGCTTTCCGTTATTTGATCTTCGATTCTGTACGAGAATTATCCTTTTAAATTAGAATCCTTAATCAAGAGAACTCATGACCAAACTGGTACAAAGCACCACAAAACACCACAGCCTTTAGGCGTTAATGTTCTAGCCAACAAACTGAATGACATGCTTCTAAAAATAAGGAAGAGCATGGTCTCGACCTAAGTTTTTTTTTATTGCTGACATGGGTGGACGAGCTCACAGCCCATCTGGTGTTCAGTGATTACTGGAGCCCATAGACATCTACAACGTAAATGCGCCACCCACCTTGAGATATAAGTTCTTAGGTCTCAGTATAGTTACAACGGCAGCCCCACCCTTCAAACCGAAACGCATTACTGCTTCACGGCAGAAATAGGCAGGGTGGTGATACCTACCCGTGCGGACTCACAAGAGATCCTACCAATGTATCCTACTACCAGGAACAAGTGGTCATGTTTTTTTTGTTTTTTTTTTATTGCTTTCGATAGGCAGTCGAGCTTACGGCTCATCTGATGGGAAATGATAACCGTCGCCCATAGACATCCAAACTACATCAGTGACTCAGATGCGCTGCCTATCCTAGCCTGGATGGGCAGCCTTATGTATGTTACACCGGCTATCCTGTCCTTCAGACCGGAACACAGTATTACTGTTTTGCGGCAGAAATAGACAGGACGGTGGTACCAGCCCGGGCGGGCTTCTACACAGAACCCTACCACCAGTGCTCGTTTTATTAATCATTAGGGTAATCCTGGTCGAATTTGTCGATTACGACGAAGAGTTTGACGAGCGAACTAATCCATAAACACAGCCGACTGATTTTTTCGCCGGATCTTCTCAGTGGCTCGCAATTCCGATCCGGTGGTAGATTCTGCGAAGCACTGCTCTTGCCAGGGCTAGTGTTAGCAAATCCTCTCAAGTTGAACCCCCTAAGCTCGCCCAACAATCAATGGCGAAACCAGAAAAGCCCTTTGAGGCTAACTTAAAGGTACCTAAAGAAAAAAAAGGTTGAAGACTTGCTTTGGTAAATGAGTAATGCAAAAAAACCTACCGTACCTGTTTCTGATGTAGGGTCCGGCAACAAAGTCTCTGTATACCTGTCCCGTATCAAATTCCACTGTAACAGTGGTCTCGATGTCGTAATAATTGTTTATCTCCTTAATTTGCTCCGGATCAATGTTCCTCTTCGAAAATATCTGTTTCAGGGCGTCTGAAATGTTTCCTTATAAATTTTATTGTGGTAATTTTTGAAGTTTACACGAGGCACAGCGTTGAGTCAACGCAGCATCGATAATGCTTGAGTGGCAACCGCGTAGAAAACGTAGAAAACCTAGTCGCCCTGTGCCCTGTACACACTTGGCAACGCACCGTGGACGGCAAGATGAGGACTGTCAGCTTGACCTGGAGCGATGTTGGCAAGTCGAGACAACTTGTGAAGGCCCTATGTACCAGCGTTGTATTCTATAACTACAACAACAACAACAGCAACATTGAGATATAAGTTTTATTGTTTATTAATTTCCAAATTAAATTTTCGAACATTTCGGTAGAATACTTTGCAGTTACGTGGTCACAGATGAGTGAAGTTATGTTGGTCAGTATTTAAATATCGCGCTAAATACCTAACCTAATGTTTATTTAATGATTTTGTCGGTTAAAACGTATGCCACCAATTAACATAAATTGTACGGTATTCTCCTGTTTAATAATTTTCCTTTTATAAGTCATAATATTTAGAATGCTGTTCAGTTTTCGTGGTCACTCATTATCATGGTCGGTTGCACTTGGCAGAGCAGTCGTAGTCATGTGGAATTCTTGTTTATTAAAGTCTTGACAGATGTTTTCCATAGTTTGCGAACGGAGGCTTGACGCACACACTCGTTAAGTGGGGTTTCAGTAAGGTTTTTCACCTGATCAGTCCAGCGCATGGGGATTCGTCCACGAGATCTCTTACCTAACTAAACTCTCCGTAAACAAACTCGCAATTAAACCTAAACGTCCTTAGTTTTAATTCTAAACTTACAAATACCCATTGAAATACTGTTCTTTTTTATTGTTAAGTGGTTACTGGAGCCCATAGACATCCACAACGTAAATGCGCCACCCACCTCGAGATATAAGTTCTAAGGTCTCAAGTATAGTTACAACGGCTGCCCCGCCCTTCAAACCGAAACGCATTACTACTTCACGGCAGAAATAGGCAAGGTGGTGGTACCCACCCGCGCGGACTCACAATAGGTCCTACCACCAGTAAAAAGTAAGTACTTCAGCAAATACTAGCTAGACATACCCAAAAATTAACAGAAAACACCAGTCACTTAAGTAACATCGCATGTGACCACCGCCGCGTCACATAATTTTTATCTGTCTTACATTACTTTACCTTTGACATCCCGCACTTCCCGAGGATTCAGAGTCCGGAGGTCATCGTCATTGTAGCTCTTCGCTTTAGTCAGACCTTCAGATATCGTGCTCGTTACAGGATCTGTGCGCATGAGTATTCATTTAAGACAATGGATTTGTGAATGTTTGTAAGTGATTACTGGAGCCCATAGACATCTACAACGTAAATGCGTCACCCACCTTGAGATATAAGTTCTAAGGTCTCAGTATGGTTACAACGGCTACACCACCCTTCAAACCGAAACGCATTACTGCTTCACGGCAGAAATAAGCAGGATGGTGGTACCCACCCGTGCGGACTCACAAGAGGTCCTACCACCAGTAATTACGCATATTATCATTTTTTCGGGTTTCATTTTTATTACACGATGTTATTCCTTCACCGTGGAAGTCAATCGTGAACATTTGTCAAGTACGTATTTCATTAGAAAAATTGGTACCCGCCTGCGGGATCCGAACACCGGTGCATCGCTAGATACGAATGCACCGGACGTCTTATCCTTTAGGCCACGACGACTTGTCAGTAAATATTTATGTCATTAGTCACTTATTAGTGCTGAATACTGATGAAAATGTTGCATACCCTCATCACTGTCATAGAAGTCATCCTCGTCCTCATCATATTGGAAGTCGTCGCATATCACTGTTGCCATTATAATAAAATAAACCAATAGATGCATTATCAAGGGACACTTGGAATTTTGATGTTTTTTACCCGTTTTTTTTTTAAATTAACTTGAAATTTTGACTAAATAAATTGACAGGCCTCTTACAGAAATTTTAACATGTCAAAGATTAACTTCATTTTGGATTCTTTTCTTTTTTATTAACATTAATGGCCTGGATTCTTGTCCTTTACCCAAATCCTCGTTTATTATTGTTATTATTACATATTTTATGTTGTATTTGATTTACCTGAAATTAATTAAAATATAATTAAATTAGGATGAGTTGGTAGAGAAATAAATTAGTGTTCTAGTAAAATCATAGGAATACTTCATTAGACATTTTGAACATACGAGAAACTAGTGTACCAATATTCATTGCAGTTTTATGGCGCTTTGACTGATGCGGCGTTACCTCGCTCTGAGGCGTTCTATTTAAGGCTTGAAGTGCAAGCAAGAGCGCGCGACGAGCGACAAAGAGGCACAATCGGCCTCCGCGTTCGGCAGAGTTCGACATCTGTCTCTCTCCTACTTGAGTGAGCGATGCATCCGCGTGGACAGCTGCTATACAATAATACATTTACATGTTTTCGTCAAGTATGAAGTTCAGTGAAAAGTGAATGTGGTGTCAATTGTTTATAGCAACGATAATTGCGATAATTGAAAAATTAAACCATTCCATCAGTATTTTGTTATGACGCTGTCACATTCAACTATCGTCAGTAAACCGACTTTACAGACAGCCGATTTTTTTTTCACATCATATTTTTGATATTAATTTTATTTTAAGACGATTGTTTTATTCAACAACAATAACTAATCCTTTATGTTTAACTATTACTCTTTACAAATCTCCAAGTCGAAAGCATTTGCTTTTTAATAAAAATGGGTCGTATCGGATACTTGGGTAAGATGGTTTCCAGAAGTTGCATATTTTGTTATTTTATTTACAATATATGTTTGTAGAAGGATTACCCGCAGAATATACAGTAGAACATAATTAAACATGCAATTATAAATGACTTGGTTACTGTTAACCTCAGTATACACTGAATAAAAATGAAACAACAAAAAAACAAAACAAAATCTCTTCCATAAAAGGTCACCCGGTAGGGCGCCGCCTATTATTAGAAAATTTCATGAATTTGATTTGAAAATTGAAATCTCCCAACAAGATTTTTGGGAATTAAGCGTGGATATAAAAACTGCATAATTGGATATCCATTTAAATTCAGTTGATTGCTTTAGTATATCAATGCGACTAATGAATTTATACTTGACAAGAATCTAATATATAAAATTCTCGTGTCACAATGTTCGTTCCCATACTCCTCCGAAACCGCTTGACCGATTCTCATGAAATTTTTTATGCATATTCAGTAAGCCTGAGAATCGGCTACTATCTATTTTTCATACCCCTAAGTGATTGGGGTTGTCCACCCCTAACATTTTTTTTTTATTTGGACATATGTATTTTTTTTATAATGAGGTATTATGTGGTTGAATGAGGTTTTGTTATTTTTATTATATATTCCCTCATCGTTCACAGCACTACATACCTCTTTCACTCATTTACCACATCCTTACACACACAATAAGTTAGTTTTTTTTTCTACACTAGAAATTCCCTAGAAATCTTATATATGGCAAAACAATGTTTGCCGGGTCAGCTAGTAGGTATATATAAAAATGAATTGCTGTTCGTTGTCTCGCTAAAACTCGAGAACGGCTGGACCGATTTGGCTAATTTTGGTCTTGAATTATTTGTCCAGAGAAGGTTTAAAAGGTAGATAAATATATAAATAAAAATAACAATTTTGCTTTTCCTTTGATGTGTCCCCCGTCGGATGGATTCCTTTTCTTTGTTTTAAGTTTATTTTATACAAAAGTTTAGGTCTTTTATTTATAGATTGAGGCATTACGAAGTCTGCCGGGTCAGCTAGTTTCCTTATAAAATTTAAATTGTTTTCTGGAATCTTCCTGCCAAAGAGTATTATTACGTCACATTTCCAAAGCATCATAAGCCACAAACTGAAAGAGTGAATGAGAGACTAGGCAGGAAAATTAGTAGGGAGACTTCATCCTCAGTTTCCTAGTTTTCATGTATTTATTGGTGCTGTTAAGCCGAATGTACTATTGACAATCACAATCTCAGGCTACAATGTAGGTATGTCAATAGTAAATTTAATTCCATCTAATGAAACCTCCAAGGCGTGGCCTGCAGAAAAATACGAAAATACGCAACGTAATCCTTCCCCAGCTTAAACCTCCCGATAAGAGGGGAGAAATCCCCAAAACTTAGAATAATAACAGTAAATTAGTTGCCATAATAAAGAAATGCGGAAGTAGGCTGAATAGATAAATGTCTTCGCCTTCTCCCTGAAAACGAAATGGCGTCCGACCGTCTGACGCCAAACGATTTACTGCGACGCGACTTGAAAATGTCCTAACTACAAAATAAACCACATGGAAAAACTACTTTCTCCGCCTTGTATAAGCACCAGAATGACTTGCACAAGTTTCATCGCAGGAGTATTGACTTTCCAAAATAAGTTATGCGCTCTGTGATAAAACCACAAAGCAAGCTATTTTGCTCTTTATTTCTAGAGGACCAATGAAGTTTTTCGGAAAACATAGCTAGGTAATTTAGATATTTTCCCGGGCTTAGCGATGTCTGGGTGGCGCCAAAATGTTACATGACATTTCCAACGTATATTCACTCTTATGTGCATTTCTTAAGATTGGCTTTACATTATTGAATTATTTTGAGGGTTTCAAATGTGGCTACATCGGGACTGTATGTATTCAAGTTGTTTTTATCTTAGTTTTCTTATATAAAGGAAAATGGCGTCGCATTGTCGAAAGGGAGTTTCTATAGTATAATTCCTTGACTTATTTAGCTTGCACAATAACTCAATTCCTACGAAATGGAACTTATCGTGATCTTTATTATTTTTTCACCATTTTTAACATTATTAAATAGGACAGTTTTCATTTTACCGAATTGCTTTTACTCCTTAAAATTATGAGTTTAGTTTTGCCGAGAAACGGAAATGTGTGCCGGTTTGAAGGGCGGAGCAACCGCTGTACTGTAAAATCTGAGACCTTAGAACTCAGGTTTCAAGGTGGGTGGTGGCATTGACGTTGTAGATGAGTATGGGCTTCGCTAACCACCTAGGGCCGTGAGCTCGTCCTTAGGTCTATGGAATAAAAAAATAATATATAAGTTTGTTATTACGTTAGCTATTATTAATTATTAAGTTTGTTATTACGTTAGCTAAATCGGTCCAGTAGTTTCGGAGCCTATTCGAAACAAACAAACAAACAAATCTTTCCTCTTTATAATATTATTAAACATAAACAATATTAACCTATTCTCAATTTGACCACGGACTTTACGCAATAACAAAAGTTTGACAATAAACAAAGAGTATACATATTTAAGTGTGTGTGTCAAATACATGGTAGTGTATGTAATGTTTTTTTAATGATTTAATGTATTATAAATGCAAAATTTAAAAAATTAATATATGCATTCTGCATTCCTTCTCTATATTCTCTATAATTGTGTGAAATTACATAGGTAGGTACTCCCCCGTCCGCGCAATATTCGTGAAAAGGGGTACAAAGCTTTTGCTTAACGTATTAATATATAGAATATACTATTTAGTTCTGATTAGAATGAACATTTAGACAAAGATTCCGTTACATACAAAAAAAATCTAATGAAGGTGTGTAGAAAGAGATTTAATGAGAGGATACGGTAAAGTATTTGAAATGTCGGAAATAATAACCAAAGGTTAAACAGTAAAACTAGCTTTAATAAATTTCATGAAACCATCACAAACGTGCCTTCAACAAAATCAACAGAAAACTATCTTGTTGCATAGAAAAGTTAGCGGTGAGGTAATGACAGTATCCCTGGCTTGTGTCGACTGTATCATTTCTTTGTTTCCAATTTAGTTTTTGCTCTCAAACGGGAAATAAGGAGATTGAGCCCAGAAAAAAGGCGATAAAGTCCTGTAGCCATTGTCGAAACTCTTCAGCAATTGAATCTCGTCAGGAGTGAGGGAGAAGTCGTAGATTTGAATGTTCTCTTCAACTCTGTCCTTGTGGAGGGACTTCGGGATCGGAATTACTCCTAACTCCACCTGAAAAGAAAGAATAAAACGAGTAGAGATAAAAGAGAAGAATGTCGTGATCAGGCGTGACCGTTAACTTTAAACTAGACGATGACGATTTTTTTTGTTGATAAATTGTGTTTTTTAGATATTATATTTAAATACGAATTACATATTGATAAAATTATGAAATATTCTAAGATCGTTTAGGCATTTTTAAGTGAACACGTGAGTTAAAAAGACAAAAATAATATAAATAAACAATTCATTTTCTTGGTCTAATCTTAAACCAAACACTCATTGACTTCGGGTGGCTTAACAACGCCATCTACCGAAATAGCTTTAGTGTTATTGTGTCTAAAGCAGTTAGTTGCTCTCAATTATGAAAAATAGTATTATTATTCGCCAATAGATGTCGGGAAGAGTCATAAAATTGATTATTGAAAACACGAATAAAACAACATTTTCTGAAAAAAAATCGTAGCTAGATCGATTTATCGCCCCCGAAATCCCCTGTATACTAAATTTTATAAAGATGGTTGGAGCCGTTTCCGAGATTCAGATTATATATATACAAGAATTGCTCGTTTAAAGGTATAAGATAAAGTATCCAAATATGGGCTTACATCTCAAAAAAAGCTCCACAATAAAATATAATAACAAACCTATATACGTTGAAAAATAATTTAAGTTTTATTTTATTTTATTGCCCTTGTAGACAGACGAGCATACGGCCCACCTGATGGTGAGGGGTTACCGTCGCCCATTGACTTCAGCAATGCTAGGGGCAGAGCCAAGCCGCTGCCTACCGTCTGCCTAAGTCTACATAAACTTCACATGTCCCGACAGTCGTTATTTAAATTTCAAATTTCTTTGTTAATTTTAAGGAGCTTC